TGTGGATGTTTTAGGTGAGGAAGATCCGGGCTATGAGTGACATCTAGAATGCCAACAGTTAATTTATGTGTATGCTCTGATATTGTGACATCGGGGCAGAGGATTTCTAGGACATGAATTGTATTTGTATATGGAGTTGAACCTATTAATTTGAAAACATTTTGTAACTTCTTATGTTTTATTTTTCAACTTTCATTTTCAGACTATTTTAGATATTGAAGAATGTTTCTAAAAGTTTTTATGTGAACCCTTTTACCTATGTGGAAAAATTTATTTCCTTAGTTTATTTATATTATTACGATATATGTGTTGGGGTAGTAAGGGTGTCACACTAATTCTATCATACCAAATATGATCATCACAATCCAGCAATATGGAAAGAAAGGATAAGCTTATGAAAAAATTAATATAACAATATAAATATACAACTTATACATGTAGCCAACTTGACAACTTTAGAGCTAGTTCATGACATAACATTAACTTATCAATTGACCAATAACATAAAAACAACACAACAACTTACAATACCAACAACATGCTCAACATTAGTAACTTTAAACAATTAATGTGTCATCATACATATTTACTTATGGAGATCTCTACAACAGATATCAATTGTTTAAGTGGCTCAACTTTACTAAATCACTATGACTGACCTATCACAAACCAAACAAGTAGATACAACAATAAGCCTCTCTCAATGTTTGGTAAACAACTTAATATAATTTATCAAATTTTGTCACTTAAACTAGGAAAGTTTAGTAGAATTGTTAAGGTAAACTAATTTGACCGTGAGCCTACCATGATCTTAGCATACATATATAAGTCTTATGTGAGATTAGTCTGCCAACTACTCTCCAAATACTATGCATCTTTCCAGCAGTTAGTTAAGGATTTTATCATTCGACTTCATACTTTACTCACTTGATCACTTTATACATGTATGATTCGACCTAATCCCCATGCAAATTTCACATAAAACCTAGAAGAGATAACTTAAAACAACTACCATTCAGAACCCAACTTACTTACTGATGGATTCTCAACCTGAGTTCTTAAAGCATCATAACTTATATTTACATAATGAGATATTTTAATTTTTAAAATAACTTTACTTTCTGCTGATATTTATGTATCTCAACTGAGACACATATCATCATTACATACCTAACAATTAAACAATTTAATCAACTATAAATATCATTCAACTTTGCAACAAAATCAACTATGAACCTAAAACTCTTAATCAAATTTAAGTTATTGATATGTAGTTATGTTAAATATTAAATATAATAGAATTTTATTATTTTTAATGATTTTACTCTACTTTAATAAGACTATCTCTGGTAAAAGATGCTTATAATCTTTAATAAAAAAGAAAAAATTATACATATTAAAATAGAAGATTTACTTTAACCTTATATATATATAGGGGTTGTAATTATACCGGTGTAATTTTTACTAAGTATTACACTGCTTAATAACTTTATATTAATTGTGAATTTTGTAAATCTAACCGTTAGATTGAAAGTTCATATCACTTTATACATGTATATCAAATTTTGTTAAAATTGAACAACAACTTGAAGGTAATCAAAGTGTTCATATTTTAGTGTATTTTAAAATAAATATATTACGTCAATTTTGTTTTATAAAAATGAAGTATCAAATCATCTTGAATTAATATAAAATTTATAAAATTTTGCATATATGATCTAAGAGATATGAACTTTCAATCTAACGGTTAGATTTACAAAATTCACATTTAATATAAAATTATTGAGCGGTGATAATATTTAATAAAAGTATATTTATATATATATATTCTCCACTTTGGAGATATCTCTTAGAATAATATGAATTTTGAGGTTAACTTAATTTCACAAATCGAGCTTATAAAAGTTATTTATCCTTATTTATATACACTGTTTTAACCTCATCAATATTAACATGTGAAATCTTTTAACACAAACTCGCCTTTTTCTCTTTGGACTCAAAGCCATGGTTGCTATTCATATGTTACACAAATTAAAAATAAAAAATAAAAACAAGGGCATTAAATCGGTAAAATACAATACACGTTATAATTATTAAATGAACAAATAGTCAATGCTTTACTGTTGACAACTTTTGAATAGTCAATGCTATGCTTTTGTCCTTGAAATGGACTATAGCCACATGTTGATGTTAATCGAGAGTGGAAATTAAATATATAATCTTTAACGTATATATAGCATGTTTAAAATAGTATGTATAATATATGAATCAAAGGCAATCATTCCACAGAGAGGCTATAATTAAAAAAATCTCGAAGATTATTTTAGGGCCAGTAGTTGATTTTTTTTTCTTTATTTTTTTTTACAATAAATAATGAGAGTTAGGGATAAAGATGTAAAAGTAAATTATAACAACACATTTTATTGTACTAAAAGATGACTCATGTTTAAAATAAAAGCATATTGTGAGTAAATTTCTTTTAATAATATTTCGTTTGTATGCAATTTTTTTTTCCTATGAAAATGACACATGATACTAAGGAGGTTTATAATATTCACACACTTTATTCAACCAACTGACCTAGATATTTTTAATTGTTTTTATGCAATATAATTTTTTAATACAAATATATAAAATAATTAATCATAGTAAAATTTAAAATTATTTATAAATAAATCACTAAATAATTTTTTTTTTCTTGTAATATAAATATACTCTCTTTGTACTATTAGTTAAATTTTATGTAAATATTGTTAGATCAACCTAA